CTCAGTTCGTTGACTTTGTTGTTTTGCGTTTGGCATTGGTGGCCGGAGTTGTTTGGAACTGAGCCGTACTTGACGCTCTCTCTCTTCTCTTCTTTTTCTCTCCTGTTCTCCAAAACCTGCAACCGTCTCTTCATAACAGATAACTTAGCCTCTAATTCAAAACTCCTCTCGCCCTCTGTTCTCAGTTTGGCGCCAAGCTCATCCTTTTCTTTAGTGATGCTTTTAATCCGTTCTTGTAAATCTGCCTGGGACCTTGCAGCCTGTTGCCTCTCCTCTCTAAGCTTTTCATTGGGCATCATTGCCAAATTGCTCTGCTCATTTCTCTTACTGAGTGTTTCTTCAGCCTGTCTGAGCCTCTCCTTCATAGTATTCCTATCCTCTACTAGAGCTACAGTAAGTGACCGGAGATGGGCCAGGTCTTGTTTAAGGGCGGCTTCACTTTGCTGTAGTTGACCCTCACAAACCTCTGACTCTCTCAGCCTCAGTCTGAGTTTGTCCAGTTCACTGTTTAGAGTTTTGCACAGCTCTTTCTCCCTCTCCAGACTGCCTTTTAGGGCACCACACTCCTGTCTGCTCTTTGCCAAAGTGCCCTCGATCCTGTCCAATTCATTAATTCTTTTGTTCAGTTTATCCACATCATCCCGGAGATTACCACTGTTGATTTTCTCCTTTGTCAGTCTCTGCTCCAGCTCACGGCACTGTTCTCCCATACGTATCAACTCCTCATCCTTTCCTTCCATTTCGACTACTCGCCTCCTCAGCACCTCCACCTCTGACATCAAGCCTGGGCCTCCTGACCTATGACCTTTGCTGTTTAGCTCCCAAAATCCATCCGTCTTTCTCAAAAGTGGTCTTTTCTCCTCCAGTCCAGCCTGTTTTGCTGTCATAGTGCACTGTTGGCTTCGATTAACTTGTTGCTTCTCCTGTATGAGGTAAAATGTTCCGCTCCTCAGATTTTCTGTGATGTTGGTTAACTTTCTGACCCGATCTTTTTGTTCCCCCAGCTCCTCGGTCAATAATTGATGCTCCCTTGCAACCAGCAGAGCAAACGCCTTCAGCCTGTGCAGTTCTTCTTTCAGCACGGACACCTCTTTCTCATTCCTTTCCTGCTTTATCTGCTGGTATTCTCTCTCTTTCGCAATCAGTAGCTTGAGTCTGTAGAGAAAAACAAGGACATTATAAATCTCATGTCTTACTAGCCCCACTTTAAACCCAAATAATGTCCTAAGCTGTTTATTTCCAGAAAAAACAACCGATTAAATGAATCATATTAATCACAGCTGCATTCTGCAACTGGGAATAGTTTCGTCATGATGTACTAGCTGACCTACCTGTGCAACATAATACATGTGCACCCGTGTTAGGCCTAATTTCTCTCCAGGCAGCGTCATTTTCAGTGGGATGTTTTGACTAGCACGGCATATGGTCCCTTAGCGGGGTGTGTTTGTTAATTAAGAAGTTCCTCTACCCTTGAGTACCCTCGACGCCGCATCCAATCTCCCTCCTTCTGAGCACCTTGAATGGCACATCATTTCCAGCTCCAAGAGGCAGGAATTCCCCCCTGCTCCAGAAGTAATTACAGACTGCGGCTGGATTTACCAAGCACTGTCACTCTGTACCTTTCCCTAGACACATTCCAGGATACTGTACAAATACACAAATGAACACAACGTGCCACATGCAAGACTAATGGGAGCACTTTAACACATCATTCTCACTCCATCCAGAATTTTAGCTGTATGCACTTTGGTCACTGAAGATAGGTATTTGGTAACACATATTTAGTAAAATCTGCTAAACTTATAGTAAAGGTACTTTCATTTGTTTGGTCAAAAAAAATGAACACTTTTTCACATTTCTCCTTCGTTGCTGCCACAGAAATTCACCTGTCTTTTTTAGTGTGCACTGATTTTGGAATTTGCAACACAAGTAGCTAACACTACATTGTAAGTTCCAATCACACTAAAAATGTAGAGATGTGTTTTAGCATAAAAAGTTATTTTTAAGAACATGATTGAGCGTGAAACATGTGTCATACAGCAATTGTGTGCTACTTTTTAGCTCAGTTTGTGGAAAAAGATAGTCTACATTTTGAATGAAAAGTTGCATATTTGCATAGCATTGATATTGATATTCTACAGCTCTTCCAAAGCATCCTTACCTCTGCTGTTGTTCCTATACATCTTACACTCTCCAAAAAGCCCTGTCTCTGCTCTCTTCTCCTGGTGATGTGGACCTTCCATGTGGAAAACTCAACATTATGTGAAGTACTCTGCGCTCTGAGTCTCACTCGCAGTCGGTGGCGCCCATGACATCATCAGCACGTCCTTATAAGGAAGGAGCTGTACGGGCCAGAGAGCTCTGTGTGTGTTTGTGTTTTTTTACTGGAGTTCAGCCCATTCCAGATGAGGTCATTGTGCAGCCATGCCAAAGAGGCTGATGGGAAGGACAGAGCCTATATGTGTGTGTGTCCAAATCCCAAATGTCTAATTACATATTCTGGCATTGGATGTGAACATGATTAGCCCAAGTTGATTTGGTAATCAGATGTTTAAGTGTTGTGCATCATATACCTGCTACTTCAGAGGCCCTGTCATCTTGTTTTCTTCTGCCCCCTGTAGTGTGTGCACAGTGTTCTTTTTGATTTTAAGAGGACAGAAAATGTTTTGTGCACTACAGCGGCTGTGCCTGGGGCCTGATAACCTGACTGAGATGACATCATCACTTCAATTACATCCATATGTTTCTCTTGTTCTTTTCTCTTTCTTCCCAACCGCCACTTTATCTCCGTACTCTATCATTTACTTTGGTTGGAGGCCACAATTTATCTTTCTCCTATCGTCATGCACTTCTTTTGTCCCGCATGTCCTAAGAGCTTGGCAATGCGTAATAACATTCATTTAGTCTGACCATTTTGTTCCTGGTCACAACTTGAATCAAAGGCCAAATTAGCTTGTTTTGCATTTTGTTGTACCTCTGAGACTCTGTCCAAAAACTGGCTCCCCCATTTCCATATTACCTCTGTTCTGGACTAATTCCATCTAACCACAATTAAATAGGAACCACATTGATATTTTTTCTAAATTACAATCACAAAAGTTGCTGAAGAGTTTTGCCTTTTTATGGAAACTTTTACTGGTAGAAAACCACCCCAACACTTAATTTGCTTTTAGCCTAATTGGAGAAAAGATCCAAATATCTTGTAACTATTCCAGTGCTCCTCCAAATTCTGCTTTGTAAATTAGCTTAGCAAGATATTAGTGGGCTCTCCCGTTTAGGAACGTCAGATCAATCCTTCTAGGTTTTCACATAATTTACAAAGGAACAATCCAAAAGCAGAGTTCATGAGGGCTGATTTCTCTGGCATCTGCTTTTCTTGTTCTCAATTACAAGCCTGATCCGACCCTTAGAGGCTTTTCCAAGAACACTCTCCAACTTTGCAGATATGTAATGTGGGCCGTATGTGAGGAGAGAAGTCCTGTTGTCATCCAGGGGTATAATTTGAAGATGTGTGCATTCCTGATCCAACAATTGCAGTAGGATTTTCTCTCACACAAATGACATATTATCTGCTCTTATGGCTGCATTACGGAGACAAAGTAGTTTGGCTGTTCATTTCCTTTTTTTTCTTTTTTTTTTTTAATTAAAAGCATCAATTACCAAGTATTGGTTTTAGTCATAATTATATGTTTATGGTTTTAGTCACTGAAAGTAAACTTATTATCATGGTATGATCATGTGGTTTGTGGGGATTGGTGGACACTGACATTCAGTTACCCAAGGGCTAAAAAAAATAAAATAAAATACTATACTAGTACTATTATTACAATAATCATAGTTGTCTTTGTTTCACCTTAAACTTATACTGTGTTTGGCCATCCTGAAAAATGACCAAACTCATCCATACTATAGTTAGCACAGTTTGAGTGGAAACGGGGCTATTGCACAGAAGTGAAGCACTGCCAGACCTCTGGGATAATTTATGCATTTTTCCTCCTGACACGTTATTGGCTAAGCAGACAGATGGTGGAAGTGTTGGAGTTTGAGAGGAAGACAAGACAGCTGTGTGGGTTTCCTCTATCATGAAGTCAAGTTTACTTTGTTCAGACAATCCAAGAGGCATAAATGTTTCTTTTTGGATTTTGATCAAGCTTAAGATAAGCGTTTGTTGAGGCCACATCAGTTGTACTCAAATAATGAGTCAGACCTGCTGGTTTTAAAGTGATTTCTTGGTCAAGTGACGCCTTAACAGCAGATGAGTTTATGCCTTTTTTGTGTTAAACATGTGTGCCTAGAACTGAAGTGCTCTCGGCCCAGTGTCAGTCCATAGGAAATGTACTCCTGATAGCTGAGGTCTGTGCAGCCAGAATTCTGCATTGTGATGTGCTCATGTAATCGCTGTCTAACACGCAACAGGGATCTTTGTATGGCAAGTGATTATATAGCATGACTGGAATTTGAGAGTATAGATAGATCTGGACTTGAACAGGTCATCTGCTCTGCACATGGCACCTTGGGATGCTGCCTCTACAGGAACTAGAAAGGCCCAGCCAATTCCAGGTTGTCTCCAGAAGTTTTAAATTAACTAGCTGATTTGGAGGAGGAGTTGATTTGAAAGTGGAAATCAAGCAGACGCAACTGAAACAAACATGAAAGGATGGGTTTGCTGTTTACTCCGTGGATCAATGTAAGAAGTATTTTTATGCCAAATGCAACAAAGCGTTTGGAAATATGTCAAAAGTATAAAGGAAACTGATCCCCCCAAATGAGAGGAACTGTTATTCTTGTCCAAAAAAAGATCTAACACCTGCCACCAAATCCATCAAAGTATTTTAGAAGGTTTAAACTAGGATTTTAAACACAGAAGGAATCTATAGAGGACAAGTCATGGAAAACCTTTGTGATTAAGTAGTCAGGAATGCTTGAGCCACACAGGGTTTCCACCACACCAGACTCACAGGCTGCCACCATGTTAATCATTATAACCCAGATCAACCTCTGTTGTACAATACTTGCATGTTTTAACTCGGCTAACTAAAACTGGAAAGCCATTTTAAAATTGAATTTGGATGAGCGGGCATCGCAATGTCTGACTACTTTGAAGCTGAATTGTTTCTCTGGGTCCACTATACGAATGATTACAGAGCACACTGGTCTGGTTGGCACAATGAAGCGAAGTTATGGGATCCAAATAGCATCGGAAAACTTGTGACCACCTCCATGTTAGACCTTGCTATGGAGACACTAGCCACATCTAAATGCTTTCTCTTTTGGATAGGAATTCCTCGGACCAGCCCGCAACCCCATTAACTTAATTTAGATGAGGGATCCACACTGCGCACTGCGGTATTGTTGAATTGGACAGTAGGGTGCAATTTGGGGCTATAGTCATCATTGTATGTGAGTGCATGTTTATTATGTTTGGAGAGGGGGAGAGAACAGGGCCAAGCTGGAAACAGGCCCTTTCCACGTCCAGGGTGTAATGGACTGTATCTGAGTGCAGTAACTCTTAAGTACAGTGTTGAGGTCAGATCCAGTGTCTATGGGAGAACTCATTGGCCAACACTACATTTGCTCTCTCACTCAGTCATGAAGACCATTACATAGCACTGCATGTGGACTACATATCACATGAATAGCAAAAGACTATATATGGCTTGCTTCAGTCTGTAGAAATCAAATGTGCTCTCAAATCAGGCTATACATGTGTACAGTTGGTGAACCCACAATTAGAGTTGGCACAATTATTAAATCACAAAGACTGCAATTATTGACTAGAATTGATTTTTAAAAAATCAGTTTTGTTCTGTCTTGTTTAGACCTCTGCTAACATTTTCTGAAAAGCTGTAGCATTATTGTATTAGTTCATATTTCAGTCTTTCAAATGTTAATGGCCTTGAAGTTGTTTACAATGTGCACTCTAAAGCCTGCTTTTTAAACATAAATGTCTCTAAACACAGTACTTGTCAGATATATCACCTATCACCAGTGCCTACAGTATGCATACCCACCTCTGTCTGTCCTGCTCCAGTACATGCACAACTGTGTCGCTCTTGTGGAGTAGGACCCGGTGCTTCCTCTCCTGATCCTCCAGTCTTTGTATGGTGCTGTAGTGAGAGCAGGACACTCTCAGCACCTGCTCCATCACCTTCAGAGAACACTGCTTCTGGGCCTGGACCAGGGCACCTATCTGCGGCAGAGCACACAAAAATCACCAAGTTATAAAAAAATCCAAGCTGTTCATTCCTGTTTGAAGATGGAAAAACATGATAACTTGAAGTATTTAGATGTAGATACTAGTAGATTTCAAAACTAGTTTTGATAGTAGATACTGATTTGAGCAAGAATTGATACTGACAATATCATATTTATGAGACAAATTTGGAGATTTTCTGGGTAGTTTTAGTAAAGTCTTGATTTACTGTACATCAGAAGTAGTACTATAGAGAAACTATAGACTAACTATTATCTAAAAGGGCATTGTATCAAGAAAACACTAGTTGAAATGAAGTATAATCTTTTCCATGACCAAAGCAAATGTCTACTTCACACTGGATCAGTGAATGACAGTAATGCGTTCCCCTCTTTAAGTTGATCATCTCCTCATATGCTGCTCAGTTAGCATTAGCCACAGTGGTACCGGAGCTGTCGAGTTCCACACATCTTGCAGGATGTCCCGTTGAGCTCGCAAAGAGTCTCTGTGCAGGGCCCTGAACGCCTCATCTGCTCTGCTCTCTCCATAGTGGGCCCCCAGCTGCTCCCTGTCTGTCCGCTCTGATTTCAACACAGCGATTACCTCATCCCGGGCCTAGTGGTTCAGACATTCACATTATTATTATAGGGTTGTTCAATTGTTTGGGTTATTGATGCTGTTATTTTGGCTAAAAAAAAAAGTAAAACCTGTAGTTCTCCTTCCAGGATGCTGAGCAGAAACAGCAAGTCATCCCGAGATAGTTGGTCACGCGAAGGTTGGCTGTGTCGTCTTCTAGCTTTCATTTTATCATAAAGTTGTGTTTCTTTGACTCCTACAAAAACAGTACAGAGGTTAGGTACTGCAATGAGCCAAGAATTTGTTTTTTTGTCTTGAATCTCTGTAATGCAGTGATTTGTCTTTAAATATTTAGAAGACATAAATCTGTTAGCATGCACCTGTCATTTTCCGTCACAACTGGTTACATTTTTTTACACAAATTAAAGTATAAAGCAAGCACTCTTTTACTCATTGTTGCACAGCTGAAAGTGATTTTGATT